GAACCAAGCTACTGAACAAATGGACTTAATAGATGTTTACAGAGTATTCCACCCCACAAAATCAGAATACACATTCTTTTTGGCTGCACACGGGTCATTCTCTGAAATAGACCACATGCTAGGTCATAGGACATGTCTAAGTAGAGGTAAAAGAATTGAAGTTATCCCCTGTATATTAACAGACCACAATACAATAAAATTGGAGATCAATAACATAAGAAACCGCACCCCTCCCCAAAACACATGGAAATTGACTAACACCCTCCTGAAAAACCAATGTGTAACAGAGCAAATTAAAGAAGAAATTAGACAATTTCTATGAGTAAATGATAATGCCAGTACAACATACAAGAATCTATGGGACACAATGAAAGCAGTTCTATGTGGGAAATTCGTAGCAGTGAAGGCCCATATTAGGAAAACAGAGAGAACTCGAACACCCTAATGCAGAACCTCAAGCTCCTAGAAAAAGAAGAGCATAACAAACCCAACGCTCCTACAAGAGAGGAAATTATAAAGATCAGAGGAGAAATCAATGCAATAGAGACAAAGAGAAGTACACAAAAAAATCAATGAATCAAAGACTTGGTTTTTGAAAAGAATAAAATCAAGAAACCTTTAGCCAACCTTATCAAAAAAGGAAATAAAAATCTCAAATCCATGCAGTTAAGAACAAAAAAGGTAGAGTCACAACAGATCCAGCAGAAATCCAGAGGATCATCAAGACCTACTTCGAGAACCTTTACTATTAGAGTACAGAATGGAAAACACAGAAGAAATGGATAGATTCCTAGATACATACGAATTGCCAAAGTTAAATGAAGATATAGAAATTCTAAACACCCCAATTACAATGAGTGAAATTGAAAATGTAATTAAAAATTTACCAACAAAGAAAAGAACAGGTCCTGATGGCTTCACTGCTGAATTCTACAAGACATTTAAAGAAGAACTATTGCCATTACTCTTTAAACTCATCAAGGAAATTGAAAGGAAAGCAATACTTCCAAATTCATTCCTGGAAGCAAGTGTTACTTTGATTTCAAAACCAGGGAAAGACCCAACCGAAAAAGAGAACTACAGGCCAATCACCCTAATGAACATAGATGCAAAAATCCTCAACAAGATACTGACAAACAGAATACAGAGGGTCATCAGAAGATCATACACCCTGACCAACTCGGATTTATCCCAGGGATACAAGGATGGTTCAACATATGTAAATCAATAAATGTAATACACTATATTAACAGAGTCAAGGACAAAAACCATATGATCATCTCAATAGATGCAGAAAAGGCATT